CCAGCATCAAATGGACCCTGCAACTCCCACCAAAAACCCCAGCCCAACACATATCCAAGACAAGTGGACGGAGAGAAAAAATAGTGAATGGATCCCATCCCAGTTGCTAGTTTAAGCCCTACCGTGCCAATGTCACCAGAAGCCCTAATCACCACATCGGCCCACCACCACCACCACCACCACGTTCATCGAAACCAAAACAGATGGACAGAGAGGAAGGGTGGTGGGGAGAGATGGAGGGTTGACAGAGTGAGTGGAAGGTTGACGGGGGAAGGAGATGGCGATGGGGAAGGAAAGGGAAGGTCATAGTTTCATCGAACATACCAGTGGTGCGAGCTTAAGGGCATATTCAATCTTTGATTTTCCCGTGATTGGGACGAGGCTGAGCTGATGCATGATGCATGGCATGTAATTGAAGGATTGCAATGATTATGGGCGCATTAAAGAATCAAAAACGAAATCATTTCTTCCACTGCTGGCAACTATAGAAGAGAACTTTTTGTTCGTGCCTTTTCACAGAACCGAATAACTGGGGAGGTTGATGAGTGGATGGCTTCTTCAACATCATCAAGTTACACACTTTAATTTTTTTAAAAATATATATAAAAATCAAACATTTATTTTTAATTTATTTCTTATAAACGGCTCAAATTCTGAACACTATTGCATGAACTTTTAATATTTAAATTTTTAAAATGCTTTAAATCTTCCATAAAATTATTAATTTTTAAAAATTTTATCTACTTCATCCTTAAAATGCATAGACCTAAAATCTCCTAAAAGCAAATTTAATACTTTGACCTCATTTGATGATAAATTTAAAACAAAAAGTGAGTTTGAAGAAAATAATTTTGGCAAAATGAATTTAAAAAAATGAGTTTAGAGAAAAAGAATTTAAAGGAAATAAATTTATATAAAAATAAAAAATTCTAATTTCTTAAAAAATTATCCGTGAATTTAATTTTATAATTTTTAATTTATATTTTTTAAATAAAAATTTACGCCCTCTGCCCGAGGCATCGGATACCCCAGATTGTGATGCTCCATATAATACTATAATATGCCATGTCTTGGACATTTAATGGCCTGAATTTGACGCTGACTGTTCTATTCTAGTAGAGAAATTTTGCTTGAGAAAAAAATTGTAACTGATAAATTATTTGGCAGCACTCGCTGCAAATAAGAAATTAAATAAATTTTTTATTTCAAGTCATTAAATATTTTGGAATTCATATTACCCTTTCTATTTATAAAAAATTATACCCCTAATATATTTTTTTAGATTTTTAAAAAATTAAGACCTATTAAAAATCTTATAACTATAAAAGAAAATGTTACAAAATTCGAAACATTTAATAATTATGAACTCCAAATCCCAATAGTGGATAATGGTAAAGTAAGATGCTGGAAATATTTGATATTGGGTTTTGATGTATCAGTTTCAAAATTAGAACCTGATACTAATTTAGTATATATTAAATTCATTAATCTACTAAATTAATTCATAATATCAAATACAAAAATTTAATAAGTGTTACTTATTTGGATCTTGGAAGATATCATAGGCAAATGCCTTGGGATTTAATTATCTCCATGCTTTTTACCTTGCAAACTTTTTTTCCAAAAATTAATTTTTATTATATAAAATATATTTCCCTTCTCCATACTATTTACTTGATCATTTTAGTTTTGAATATCTCTTTTTAAAATGGATAAATACTTTTAAACTAGGACAAATTAGCCCCTAGAAAGTGAGGGGTTGTTCTTTTTCAACTTTAAAAATACATATTTTTAAAATTGAGATATGTCTTTAGATTATAGTGTTTTATAAGTAATGAAATACTGTTCTTTTATTTTGTATTTTTGAAATATATTTCTAAAATTGTATTCTTTTATATATTGTTCTTGAGACAAATGTTTATGTAAAAAATAGAACGTTAGATGTTCAAATGAAGGAAAAAAAAAATAAACTAAGAAAGTTATATAAGATTGAATTGACGATATTTAAATATAAAAAATAAAAGTGAAAAATAGTTAAGATATTATGAATGATATATATATATAATACACACATATTATGTGTGTATGTATATATTATGTATTTATGTATAATATATAAAATAGTACATTAAATAAAATTATATATTATATGCATAAATATATAATATATATTACATGTACATATACATATATATATGTTACGTGTGTTAATATAATATAACATAATATATGTAATATTTTATATTTCATATTTTAATATATAATAAAATGTATATTATTGTATAACATTGTATATAATAAAATTTTTTATTTTAAATATAAGTGAAGGAATTTACTTCAGAAACTGAGTACAAGTTAAAATTGTGTTCAGTTTGAAGAGCAAAATATTTTAATTTTTGAAACTTATACTCCAAAAATATTATTAAAAAAATAATATTTCTAAAATTCGATTTCAGAAATAAAGGCATATATTTTTGAGAATATAAAAGAACAACCCTTTAATATCTTTAAAAAAAAAATAAAAATCAAATAAATATAATTATATTAAAGCCAGTAGTATTTAGACATTTAGTCAGATTCATCATAAGTGATATATGTATTTTAGAAAAATATAAATAATTTCATAATATTCAAATTATTAGGTGTAACTCTCTTGATTGTATCTTGATAAATTTGATGTTAAGTGTTATTTAAATACAGTAATGTTATAAGATGAATGATAGATAATATAATTATTTAATATATAATTATATGTCAATCATTAACGCTAATTTGTAGTATTAAAACCGTCCGTACTTGTCAGTCTCCTCTGTCACCACCAGTGGGGGCCGTTTGGAATTTATTACAAAGGGCAGTGGGCCGAACATTAATTACGTGGCGCCACCTTTTTTTTTTAACGTGGCTTGCGTGGGTTGTATTTACGTCGGGGGTTGTCGGCCGGAGTATTAGTGTTAAACCCACCTGAATTTGAAGGCTCTTTTATTGAAAATTTTATATTTAATTAAGGTGAATACTTCGGTATTTTTTTTAAAATGGAGGGTACCGGTACAATCTCCCTTCTGTGAGGGGAAGAAAGGACTCGGCTGTGGAGCCCCTCCCAATACAAGGGGCTCAGCAGTGGGACTCACCCCTTGTGAGAGGGGTGGGCACCAGAGAATTTTCCTTTAATTAAACCCACTAAAATAATTTTGAACCGTCCAGTGCGGCTCAATAAGTGCTGCACGAGTTCTACCATCTGTAGCCTGCCTATATTGACGATGGTACCCTCCACCAACGAATTTTCATCTGTGAGTGATTGGATTGCTAATAGAGTTGTAAGTTGATTGAATTTTAGTTGGAATTTAATTTAAATTTTAAAATTTATAAAATTAAAAGAAATTGATAGATCAAATTGTATTATAAATATTTATAATTTGAATTAAATAAATTATAAAATTTGATTGATTAAATATTTGAATATAAATTTTAATAATATTTTTTATTAACTTAATAATCTTATATATAATATTTATAAATTTATACTTGTAAAGAACAAAATTGTGAATAATTAGAATGTGTAGTTGTCAATATGATTAATGAAAAAAAGTTGAGAAATTTAAATATAAAAATTATTTTTTTTTTTCAAATCAAATTATCTATCAAACTCTAATATACAGTTTAATAAATATAACTCACATAAAATTTCAAACAAATTCAGAATACAAATAGATAACTATATATAAATTTGGATTAAAATTTATATAATTTGAACTAAATTCGATTTGTTTACTTCCTGACTACTGCTGGGATTCTACGGCCCACTCCAGTCAATTTCCTTTCCTTTGAGATAGGATGCTCTTGGTCTTTAAATTTATTTTTGTTAAGTAATTTCTCTTCTGGGCCGTTTTTTTTTTTTTTGTTTTTTACCTTGAGTATGGATTTTAAGGCTGGCTGGGCCGACATCAGTCATGGGCCATGAACTTACGGCCCAAACACAAAATTCAGTCCATTATTCGGCCCGTGATTCTCAGCTTGAGCGAGCACGCACGAACGCCCGCCCGCCCGAAACAAGCGTGACAGGGTCAATGTTTCTCCTCTAACAACACATCACTTGAGACTGATTCCGATTTGTTTGATTCCTTACTTTCGCTCGGGCGCTGAAATCCAGAGAGAACAATCTCGAAGGTGTTCGAGCGCCAGTCGCCATTTCACACAGTGACAGCCACTCTCGCTACCCGTATTTCTCACCGTAGCACCGTTTTGTTCAATCTGTTAAGAGTAGTTTTCTACCAAATTGGACCCTAAATTCGATAACGTTGTGGATCAGTTGCTGAAACTGTGCCAGTTTTGCAGGAATCAGTAGGGGGATCGGTGGTTGAACAACGATCTGGTATTGTCTGTGACGATACTGATTGATTGGAAGAAATTCAAATTCGATTCAGAGAAATGCACAGCCGGGAATCCAATAATCGGCTTTCCGCTATGGCACATAGATCCCGAATTTCAACTCTACTACTCTCCATGTTCGCCGCCATGGCATCCCTTTATGTCGCCGGCCGGTGAGTTTTTATTTGACTTTTTTGCAATTAATAAAGGTAACAGAATTTTGCTAATATTATATTTGAATCGGGCTAGACTTTTTACGTAGTCAGGTGGAATGAGTTTTTATAACTTCGTGGGTCTGATGTGTCCTTTCACTTTATCATTGTGTATCAGTTCAAAATTTATTTTATTTTATTTTGTGCTCCAGAGTTTGAGCGAATTTGCAACAGTAGGCTGTAGACGTAAATGTATAAAGATAACAGTTATAGAATTTATACTAAATGACGTATGCAAATTTCTCCCAGCCTTTTCTTTTGGAGGTTTAAACAGTAAATAAAGGAACTTGAAATTACCTTTCATACAAAGTATTTGACGTGAACACAGTTCGGATATGAAACAAAGCCTAAGCAAATATGAAAAGTAGAATAAACTTTAGTGAACAATCTAATATCACAATATCATCGGAAACCTATCCTTTCATGCTACAAACAGCTCCTCACCTGGCATTTGGCTATCACCAGAATGTTTTTGCTTTTTATAAGATCTGCTTTATTAAAAATGTTTCGTTTTTTTCTTGGTTGGAAGTTTGTGGCAGGATGCGGGGAACAGGGTTTATTTAATAAAAGAGCTCGATAGAATAACTGGGCAGGTAGTACTGGACTGACACTTGCATGGACATATTCATGGCACATTTTAGCTTTCTTACTAACATTTAAAATTAACAAGATATCTTCATTTTTAGGGGCATTCTGCTATATCTGTGGATGATACCTTGAAAATTATAGCCTGCAGGTAAAAAATATGGTTGATATGTATAATTAGGTTTATTCGTGTTTTACAACTTACATGTACTTTAACCTCTTTTTCCAAAGTATAATTGTAAAATGATCATATGCTTGTTAGGGAACAACAAAAAAAGTTATCAGCTCTGCAGATGGAACTTGCTGCAGCCCAACAAGAGGGTTTTACGTCAAACCACTTGCTAGAGACTAATAAGGCACCTAGAAAGAGGCCCCTAGTAGTAATAGGAGTACTCACAAGATTTGGACGCAAGAACAACAGAGATGCAATCCGTAAAGCATGGATGGGAACTGGTGAAGTAGAATCATAATCCTTATATTTTATTCTATCCTTGAGAACAATTCCAGATTGGTTATCATCTCTGGGGATAACAAAACAGCTGCTTATCTTTGCAGGTGAGGCTCTCAAAAAGATGGAGGATCAAAAAGGCATCATTGCTCGATTTGTCATTGGAAGAAGGTTGCTTTATCTTATATTTTCTTGCTGCAGGTCTAAATTACTGAACATTTCCAGATCATAGTAATTATTTGGTGAAATTGTTGGGTTGCAGTGCTAACCATGGGGACAGTCTGGATAGAGCCATTGACAGCGAAAATAAGAAGACTAATGACTTCATGATTCTTGTATGTTTACTCGTCTCTGAATTTGTTTACCATGCTTTATCCTTTAACATTTGTTAGGTTTCTCGTGTATCATTATATGACTATGTGTGTACATTATAGCATTTTGATACTTAAGTTGGGAAGGGAAAGGGTGACCTTGTCTAATTACATTTAGATGTAATAATTAAGGATTCAAAGTGCTTGACAGATTTCTGCAGTAGCTTTTGCCAAAATTGGTGTGCTTTCCTGGGTTGGTGGGTGGGGTTTTGAGGAATTCTGAAGTCTAACCAGCTTTTATTGAAGGAAGCAAAAGATATTTGCTCTTCCTTTTTTCCTTTGATAAAATTACATCAATCTGCAGAACAGATGCAGGTTACGCCTAAATAATGCAAAATGCAGAGTTATGTTTACTTCGTCTACCCTGTAATCAAAAAGATCCAACTTAAATTACCCAAATTCTGACTAGTATAGGTCTACATAATCTGAGAGAGTCAACTCCCTAAGTGGTGCACTCTCATTTGCACTGGAATATCAATTACCTTAAAATGTCAATATCCTTGTTCCACATGGACCATTGAGAGATGACTTTAGCTAGTTATCAATTTAACGTGCCTCCAGAAATTTGGATCACCATATGTGCTTCAGTCATTCCATTTTGTAGTAAAAATTATCTGGCATAAAAATATAAAATATATTTTTATTATTACATGGTCTAAAATTATCTAGGGTGAAGCGCAGGATACATGCATATCTCGGTAATTATAACAGACAATGTGAGACATATTGTCATACACACTCTGTAAATTCCAAGTGTATCATTATATAATTTATACTTCATATTTTTGTTTCTTTCAAAGATTCTTAACATTAACATCTGAATCAACTTTGTGGTCTTGCTTTTTGATTAAGACTTATTTAGGATTTTTGATTTGGAAGTTCATGGTATCTTGCATTTGCGTTATGACATGCGGACTATTGATAAACTTTGGCAGTGTATGGAATAATGAAATCTTCTTGATGGAATGGGAGTGGGAATCTTGAGAAATTATGCTTGGCAGACACTTTGAAATGGGAATCTTGATTTCCTTAGGAATTCGGATTTCATCAAATGAGGTAATCTGGATTCCATCTCTAGGGTGATGGAATCCAGATTACCTTCCATTACTTGCTTGTATAATTACTATATTATCCTATATTTTTTTAAGAAATGACAAAGTTGTAAGTATTTATAATATTATACATTAATATATTATATCATATAAATTAGCTATATAATTTTATATTATAAGAAATTTTAATACATATTACATAATATAATAAATTATATATTTATGTACATAATGTATATTATATTATCTATGTATGTGTGTAATACAATACAATATAACATAATATGTATAATAAATTTTAATATTTTAATATTAGAATGTAACATTTTTTAAATTTTTTAAAATTAATATGTTCTAATATATTAGAAGTTAATTTTTTTCTAATTTTAAAATTTTTCTAACAAGGGGTATATTTGTCTTCAAACAATTTTTTGGTTTCCTTTCCTATTTCTATTCCAGCATGTCAAACATAATAATGGAATAAGAATTTTCATTTCATCAATGTGTGCTAAATATACTCATAAGAATCTCCATTCCATTCCTATTCCCATTCCCACACCCATTCAATCAAAAATTATTTTATCGTATTATACGCTACCTTTATTTTGAATCACTGATCTCAGTAAATTCAGAATAAGAACGCATAAAATGAAAATGCCAGGCCTGATTAAATTATAGGTTTTTTTCTTTTTTGAGTTTCCTGTTCCATATTTTTCTTGAAGAGTCCTTTATGATAGTCATCTGACCTAGTCAACATAGCATTACTGTTCTTATTTTTTGCCTTACTTTATAGGAAAATCATGTGGAGAAACCTGAAGAGCTTCCAAAGAAGACAAAGTTGTTCTTTGCTTATGCCTCAGAGAAGTGGGAAGCAGAGTTCTATGCAAAAGTCAATGACGATGTTTATGTAAATATTGGTTAGTACCTGAGCTGTTTCTCTTTCTCTCTCTCTTTTTTTTTTTAAAGGAAAAAGGGAGGAAATTGTGTAGAAAGTTAGAGAATTTATAGTTATTACTTGTGAAGCTTCCATTGTCTTTCAGATGATGTGCATGTAGAAAATAAATGTTGTCACATGGAATGTGAGATGTTTACTAGGTCATATCATTTATATCTGTTTACATTGAAGGGTTGAGGCAATTTGGATCCTTGTCCTGATGTTAAGATGAATGTCTAAGCTTAGTCATTTCTGGTAACTAATTACATCTGAAAACAGTTGTAAAATTTTTTGTTTTTAATATGAAAGCATCACATTTCTGAGATAACTTGCAATACAATATATCCAAAAACATTAAGAAATTAGAACCAATAGTTCTGAGTGGCGGTTGTATGATAATAATTTGATGAATTACAAGGTGAGCAATGGTATGGTTTTAAGAGTGTTGCTTTGTCATGCCTACAAAGAATTGTGACAATTACGAACTAAGACTATGGTTTGTGAATTGTGAAGCTCGTGTGATATATTGTCTCTGCAGATGCCCTGGGAAATGCACTTGCAGCTCATTTGGACAAACCTCGTGCATATATTGGCTGTATGAAATCTGGAGAAGTATTCTCCGAACAGTGAGTTGCCAAACTTAATTAAATGATGACTGGTTTAGGAAGTTGTAGTTGTCTGTGGACAGTGGATGGTCATCTATATTTGAATTGCGTCTTCAAAAGTTTGGTTTGCTGGAATTTGGCAGGGGTCAGAAATGGTATGAACCAGATTGGTGGAAATTTGGAGATAAGAAAGCGTAAGTGTTGCTGGGTTTGCTTATGCCTCGTGAGTCAGTTCTCAGTAGAATGCTTCACTATGTGTCACATTTCTAGTACTCCTTTTCCTTAATCTGGTACACGGCTACAAATCAATTTTGTAAATTTAAGTATAATGAAATTTTATGTAATTGCATATTTCTTCACTTGATTGACATAGTTTTACCCATGAAAAAATATTAAAGGATGTATTGGAAATATACACCCTAATTTCTGCAAACTGTCTGATGTTACATTTTGCAGAAAACTCAAATATTGTCAATATGCTTCTTGCTGCTGGATTTCTACTTGTTCAATTATTACAAGCATTGCCAAGAAAATCTTTGTATAATTATTTAGTTTTTATTTTCATGTTTCTGTATTAAGTATTTACAAATGCCCTGTATTTAACAGGTACTTTCGTCATGCTTCAGGCGAGTTGTTTGTTATATCCCAAGCTTTAGCTAAATTTATTTCAATAAACAGGTGAGTTCCTTTCTGTTTAGTGCATGACTTTCTGTTTTCTTATGGTCACTGCCTTTATAAAGAAATTACTCAAATTTGGTTCCCTTGAGTTGGCAGATCTATTCTCCGTACATATGCTCATGATGATGTTAGTGCTGGATCCTGGTTTATTGGCCTTGATGTTAAACATGTTGATGAGAGATCCTTCTGCTGCTCATCGTGGTCATCAGGTCTCCCCTCCTCCCCCCCAAATCACATATTCACAGTAGGAGTATGTTAGGATACCTGAGGTTTGGTGAGAAACAATAAAAAAGGAAAAAGTAATGAGATTTGATAAGATTTTTCATGTTTGGATAATAGGAGTGTGAGAAAAACAAAAGACATGGTGAGAGATGGTGGAAAAGAAACCTTGCAAAATGTAATTTTGCTTTTTCACTAAAAGTGGTGGGGTTTGATGAGAGAAGGACTCAGCCCTATTTTTACAATATTTACCCCTATTAATTCAACAATACAAATATAGTAAGTAACCAAATTGGTTTTACCAGTCCCATTTCTCACCTAGCTATCCAGAGAAGATGGCAAGAAAACCAAATCTTTTCTCCTTTCCTCTTTCACCTAACTTAATATATCATCTTCTTTCTTTTTCAAACAGTATGTTACACCTTTAGATCGACTTCAGAGCACATATTGAGCTGAATGTACGTGCTACTTTTTGTGTTTTCAGGTGCCGTGTGCGCTGGTGTATGAGGTAATGTATGAGGTTAGTCGCCTTAAAATCACAAGAAATATAGGACAACACCACAATGTAAAGATGCTTTGAAGGAGTCATTACGTGCTGCTTTATTTAGGTTTATTGACATGGACAGCTGTTCAGGCGGAGGAGATTGTAAGAAAGATACAGAAGCTGTTGTCAAGATTTGACATTGCGTTTTGCTGATCACAGATAAATACAGTTGTAGCTTGATTATTCTAGTAGATTGGAAGCCGGAGAATTGGAATTTAAACAGATAAAGGTTACCATATTTGTAGCACCGAAGATCTTCATTGATGCTGGGGTCTGCTTTCGAGCTTCCTCTGCGACATTTATTTCATTCATTCCCCCGTTTCCTGGGACTAAGGAAGAGAGGGAACTGATTCCTTTAATTGCTGCTATGAAGCCTTTGCTTCCAATGCAAATTGAAAGGGCACAAAACGGAAGCTTGTGGCAGAGCAAACCCAAATGGAAATTTTGGTTTTCACAAATTTCGTATACCTAATTACACAATTTATTTTTCAAAAATTTTCAGCTCAACTTTATATATTATCGTTCATGTTTTTAGTGGAAGCCAAAAAATTATTAATAAATTAATCATTTCCATCATTTTCTCTATTTTGTTTTTTATAATTTTGCTTTTGAGCAAGATAGCAAATTCGCAACTAAGCATTAGATAAAGAAAAACATAGAATAGACGAAAACCAGTTGTCCTACGATTCCTAACTATCCACAGCCTTGATAATTACTTACTCTATTTTTATGCTTGAGGGCAGCCCTGTCCTTTAATTACTATTATTCTCAAATGTTCTGCATCGTTCATCTATTTTTGACTTTAATTGTAACCAAAGTTGAGTCCTTCTTTAAGCAAAACCCAATACATTTTGGTTCCATTGTGGTCGGTTACGTTTTGACTTGTAGCCAAGCTTGATTCACCATGATAGTCGGGATCCTAGTGAGAGAATCTGGGGACTCTTCGAAAGTTCAGAATTTCAAAGTGAATGAGACTGTTTACGTGGTTAATCATTCATGGCAAATTTCTCACTAATGAAAGAAGATTTAAATAGAGCAACTGCAAAGAAGGCTACAGTAAATATGGAGCAACCTCTGAATCAATTATCCATGTCTTAAGAGATTGTTCTGTGGCCGCCAAGGTTTGGGTAAAATTTATCCCTTGACCCAAGAGACCCTTCTTTTTCATGTTGGACCTTTGGAAGTGGTGTGCTGCTAACCTTGTAACTAGGAAGGTATTCTTAGATCTTGAGTGGGCAAGAGACTTGTATCATTACTATCTGAAATTCATGGAATAGGCGAAATAAGAATTTATTTGAAGAGGGATTTAAGAGACTTTCTGACCCCATGAAGGTCATTGATGGGTGGATTCAAGCTTGTAATTCGTTGCGATCTAGGCCCAGAAACTTCATCGAGGACAAGGTAACATCTATTAGACCCCTTACTAGGGGTTACGTCAAACTCAACACAAATTGTACAGTTAGTCATAATAGTGGTAGAGCAAAATGCGGTGGGTTTATCAAGAGTCATGATGGGGGTTAGATTAGATGTTTCTGCAAACATATTAGCATTACTAGTGCATGCTTAGCTAAGGCTGGGAAGTCTGGAAAGTCTTAAAAATGGCATGAAACTTGAGCTTTAGAAGAATTTTGGTAGAGGTGGACTTTAAGAACCTCGTAGAAAGATTGAGATTAAAATTGCAAATTATTTCTCTTGTGCTTCTATACTGTCCAAAATCACTACTTTTATCAATTAGTATTAAATTGTCAGAGTTAAACAAATTCTCAGATAAATAAATAAATGTGTTGATTTAGTTAATTTGATCTGTCTCAGGAATTTGGGTTAAAAAATTGGGCTCTCCTCCCAATCATGTGTTAAATTTATTTTGTTCTGATTTGTTAGAAGTATGTATTTTTCCAAGATTATGTAATTCAATAATTTTTCACTATCAAGCCTTATTCCCTTTTTGTCTTAAAAAAAACAATTAATACATTTCACTTCAATATGATTGCTTTTAAATTTTTTATGAAATTTAGTAAATTAATATTAGCGGTGACAATTTTTTATTGAATTAAATATTCAATTTTTATCTCCTTACAATTTTAGAATAATAAATTTTACATTTTGAATTTAAACTCGAATTAATCTGAAATATTTAAATTTCAATTATGTTGGGTTAAGATGGTAAAATTTTATTTTATCATATAAAATTTTTTACATGAAATTAGAAAAATGACATTGTTATAATTTTTTAAAAAAATAACTCCATCTATTTTTAATTAAATAATATTACATCACTGCAAAATTTAAGGTAACCAGTGTTGTTTTAACCCAATTGATTATGGTTAAGATGGAATCGTATAATCTAATAACTGCACATGGCTTGCAATCGACAAACAGTCTCCTTCAGAGTCTGATCGGACAGCCTTAATCAAACAGGTCGTAGTCACAAGACAAGATTGTGATTGTCCGTTCCCGAGTTGCCCTCCAAAACAACCCACAAAATTCGGTCCCCTTTACCATCTTTGCTTTTTAATCTCTCCATTCTGAAATTGTAGGACATTCATAGTTACATGAGCTGTGCAAATTCAATTAATTTTCACGTCATGTCAAATCCTATGTTCAGAACCACAATGTCGTCGTCGTCATATTCGTCGAGCCACCAAATGCACGGTCAATCCCTTTATCCGGCGATCGGAGAACCCGCCTTCCCTCCTCACGGCCCCTCCTCTTCTTTTCATCACACTTCCTCCTCCTATCGTAAGTGATTTGTGTCATTCTTATGTATATGATTTTCGTGTATGTGCACTGGGGAAAGAATCGGGGAAAATAAATGCTGAGCGTCTGTATGGGAAATTTTGCTGATCTTTTGCTTTAGCGAGCAACTGCGACTTCATTCATCTGTGTTTGCACATTTGTAGAAATTCGAGCATAAAAGGCCGTAATGAATAGGCAAAAGCTTATCACTGTCTGTCATTTTTTTTTTCCTTTTTCTAATGTCCAAACAGATCACTGCAATTTCATCTTAAAATTAGCTTGTTATAACTTAAAGGTGTTTACAATGTGTTTTCTTCTTCTTTTTAGTTTAATTAGTATATATTAATTTCATAATTTTGCAGCTGAACGAGGCATTAGGGTTTCTATAAAACCGGAATATTGGACTCCACCTGTAAGTTGATATTTTCTCCTTGAGCTTCTGTACTTGCTTCATTATTTGGAAGTTTATATATCTGTTTTTGTTTTTGCATTACTAATTGTAGCCTCAATTCCCACTACTAAGAGATATTCCCCGAAGCAATTTTGAGTTTGATTTTGAATTAGAAATGAAGATTCTAGCAGAAGCTGAGAATGAAAGTCAGAATTGGAGCAACCTTGGACTTGAAAACCTGTTTCCTGCAACTGCAGACTCACCATCTCCCTCGGTTGGTTCTTGCCGGTTTCCGTATTTGTTATTTTACAATTATATATGTTTTTCATTTGAATATTTAGGTCATTGTGTTCCTCTGATTGCAAATTCTTGTAATTTTTTGATATTGGAACTCAAAACAAGTTAAATATGAAGTCTCTGGATCTTGTTTGGATTTGTTATTTGAAATAGTTTTTCTTGTTTGGCAAGCTGTATTCAAAAATTGTTTTCTAGAATACGGTATATTGATTTCTAGTAGATTTTTGAACATGTTTCGTGTTTTCCGTTTCTTAGAAACACAGAAAACAAAAACAGAATATAAATCCAAGCATTGAATAGACAGATAATGTTTCCACCTCACTGCAGGGCTCGGCCATGGATCCTGTTGTTAGGAAATACTTAGCGTCAGGTCTCAGCAGAGAGGCTGTGCCTATTGCAGTGGCGAACTATGGAGATAATCCAACCAAGGTTTCTGTTTTCTGTTACCAGATTTCTATTTTCTTTCTTTTGGGAAAGATAAAACGCCGGGAAAATCTTGAAAACTTTGTTGTTTGCATATCTTTCTTGCCATTTCTGAGCGAAAATAGTTTCCAAGAACGTTGTTTCACGAAACAGTTTCTGAGAACACTCTGCCAAATGAATCCACGCCCTCTTCCACTTACAATTTCACATCAAACATGTAAAATATTTCTATTAAACTGAAATTTATTGTAGTTCTCTCAGGTTAAAGAATTTGTCAACGGCTACCATGTCTTGCAAGAGATGGGATTCTCGGCGAACAATGTTGCAGAAGCATTGCTGATGTATGACAATGACGCGGATAAGGCATTGGCACACTTCCTCGGCGGCTCACCTTGAACAATGTTCCTGTAATTACTTCAAAAGTTGTCATGTTAAGTTTGGTGATTTTAACTAGCTCGTTTGAGTCAAAACTTTTTTACTCTTGGCTTTAGCAGAAGCTGACTCTCACGCCCCTCATTTCAGCGGATAAGCAGGAAAAAGAATGTTGGCAGTTCAGTATTTTGCAAATAGTTTTTTTTTTTATACTTTTTTGGTTGGATTTTTTATATAAATTTAGCCAAAAATTTTTTAAACAAATTAAATATTACAAAAATCTAAAAAATTTTCTTTTATAAAAAAAAAAATAGAGACCCAAATTCTTTAGCCAACCAAACATTTCTTCAAATCCCAAACATATTAAGGGAGTACTTTTAAAAGTAAAAAAAAGGCCTGGAAGCCGAATGGCGTTTTCCGGCCCAATAAACTGAAGTTTTAATTTTAACATTAAAAAAATTTATCAGTGGTGCTGGAAGCCTGCTCTCAATCAGATATCAGAGCCAGGTTTCGATCCTGGGACCTGTGGGTTATGGGCCCACCACGCTTCCGCTGCGCCACTCTGATTGTTGTCGACTCTTTAGTAAAAAGTATTTTTTGTGTAGTTTCAGTCCAAATGAGAAACGACCCCTTTGCCTCTACGGTAATACAGGTCAGGGGGGGATTGATACAATTGGGCAGCCGAATTTCTGATACACAGCACTGCCGAGCCAGCAGGATAGATTTTTTCTATTAAAATTTAATTATTATTTTAAAAATATTTTATACTTTTAAATGAAGCCAACTGTTTTTCTTTTGTGGTCTCTACAAACGTCATCTTCCTGCACAAATAACGGGGTTGTATTTGGCGAGAGAATAAAAAAAGTTGAAATAAAGAAAACCAATTTTTTATTTCTTAATATACATTTTTGTAGATGTGTTATTCGGAGTCCTTGTTTTATCTCTTAATAGAAAACCAGTAATGTTTAGAGGTGATGATGAGGAATTTGTATGGATCTACCTAAAATGATAGTATGAGAATTATCTACAAAAGTAAAATATGAAAAACCCAGTTTTACCCAGGACTTTATTTTATTTTATTTTATTTTTTCATGAAAAAACCAACTTTTTTATATAAATTAAATTTTATAAAAAATATATTTTAAAATTAATTTAAAAAATTAAAACTCAAAAAACCATAATACCAAACACATGTAAAATATATAAAAATAGTAGACTTCAATAATTAAAATAAAATAAAATAAAATAGCTCCTGCAACATGGTTGGCAGTGGATAACTCCAATCAATGAAGGCTTAGTTTGCGAAACATATAATATTGGCAAGATAACATCACATCACATGTTCTCCTACCTTGATTGATTAGTTTGGAAATTTAATTATATATAATAATATAATTTTCAAAGTAATTAATACGATTATATAAGATAAAATAATTAATGGTGTGCTTGGATAATAATGATTAACAATTTGGCACCCACTCACGACAAATTCCCACTGGGATATGGCGGCTCATAGACATGTTACATAGTATCCATGCATGCATGTGCCTTGCATTTACACACCATTAAATTAATGTAAAAATGTCTTGTTATTATAGAAAAAGTATTGTTAAATCCATCCAAAAAAAATTATTGATATTGCCAAGTGACATTGCACTTACGAAATGGTCGGCAATTAAAATTCATACAGAGTTCTGTTTTGACTAATCAACCTAATCGTTTCCCTTAAAAAAATAATAATTTGAAAAATCAAGGGAAATAGATGGTTTTAATGAGATAGATGGAGGTAGGATTTCAACACGATCAAATAAATCTCTCTCTCTCTCTCTCTCTCTCCCCACACACACACACATATATATAAATTATTAAAATTTGACTTATATTTTTTTGATTATAAGAGGTAAAAAAAAATTACATTATAGAATCCTAGAAAAAAAAGTAGAGACTTATATTTGTCATTTATTGAAAGTGCTATTTATCTTATCAAATAATTGCCACTTAATATGCTTTATACAGCATGAATTCCACTATTACCAATTTTCTAACTTTCCAAGTTATGAAAGAGATGGCAATTGCCACTTAATATGCTCTATACAGTATGAATTCCACTATTACCAAATTCCTAACTTTTCAAGTTATGAAAGAGATGGCAAGGCGTAGAAAACAAAAAAAATCCTACCATGTGATTTTTAATTTTTTTTTAACTAAAAAAGTTTAAATGTAATTTTGTTACAATTTTAAAAATATTCATTACAAAAATTTCTACGCAATTTTTTAGAATTTAAAAATAAAAAATTTAACTTATTGTGAATAAATTAATATTATTTTTTAAAAAAATAATTAAAATTTATAATATCTCCCAATTATATATTCTAAACATGTCTTTTTTTAGAGAGAAGATGTAATTCTTATTCTCATTTTCACTGGAAAGCACGAGAAATTTACCCAATTATCTGTAAAAACCCATGCCTTTGAAATTTTCCAATAAATCTTTTTTTTAATTAATAATAAAAATTTGAAGTCTACCCAGAAATAAAGGTTGAAAGTTATTTATAAAATCTCAAATTATACAAAAAAAAAAAAAGTAGTAATTAAAAATAATATTAAATGAACTTGTTTTATATTTTAATATTATTACATTATATTATAAAGGTTACGATGTCTAATATTTGTGAAAAATCTAACACAAATGATGAAAATTACACATGGAAGCCAGGCACGGGGCATCAAGAGGGCCCTCAGTGAGCATGCACGTGAAGCTGTCTTGTACATTGTTTGGACTCATTTGGATTTTGGAACGTCGGCGTTTAAGTTTACCTACTCTGTTTTTTCTTTTTCTTTTTTTGAGTAATAAAAAATTACTGCCCAGAAAATGACAATTAATTTTAAGATATTATTAAAATGAGAATTAAAAAAAGCTTCATATTTTCCGTAAAACAATAAATTTATCAAAAATTTATAAATTATATTTTGTAAATGAATGAAATTAGTAATAATTCGGGTGGTTCATATTATCAGAAATGATTTACATTTTTATTTTAATTTTAAAAATAGAAGGATGGGCGGATACCTCATGTCAAAAACTGGCACGTGGATGGTGAACTACCAAAACTGCCCTCATTGATTGGTCACTGCCCCTTCTTTCGTGGGACCACTTTGCTATTATTAGGTCGAGCATACACTTACTCCTCCTAACAAGACGCCCGATATGGGCTTTAGCCTTTTCTTTCATTTTCATTTTTATTTTTTTTAAAATTCTCGAGGTAGTTAGCAAGGGATGTAAAATTAAAATAGTTTATTCGAAAAATAATTATCCCAGTCTTTCAAAAATTCAAAATTATGGAATTCTTGCAAAACAAACAACTCTTCAAACGATTCTAGAATTATTTAAAAATTCATTTATAGAATAATTTTGTAAAAATAAAATTATCAATTAAATTTGGATAAATAAGGTGTAAATTTTACTATTATTTAAATTTTTTTGATAAATTTGAATGTTATAAATCTTATAATTGATTTATTTAATATTAGCATGTGATTACTGGGTCAAGTGTCTTAATTTTATTAAATTAATATTATAATTAATATTTAATATAAATCCAATGGTATGACCATTGACCTATTGCATGAATTCTTATTATTCAATAAAGGTTATTAAATTATCACAAAGTTGAATCCTTCATTGGGGTTGGGGAGAAATGGGCTTTGAATGGATAAGTTTCACATATTTACCATCAGATTATGAATATTTACAGCGGAAGTAATTCTTTATAACTTTTTATCCAATATGATGGATATTTTGACAAACTGAGTTAATTGAGATTCTCTCATTTGAATGAAGAGTGGTGCCAGCAACCATTCATTTTTTATTTTTAGTACATATAGTTTTATATCTTTTGGCATTTGACCTCAAGTTGGACAAAGCAAGTACCCAAATCCTTTATTAAACTGCAATTTATAATTCCAAAATTTGAAAGGAATTAAAATAAACCCAGATCTTTTAATAATGTTTGATACTACAGGGACCAAAGCGAAATTTAAATTAAAATTATGAAAACGAGAATAATGAACACCTAGTAATGGGTAATTATCACTTTGGCGAAGAAAGAGGTTTAATTGCATTGAGAGCACCGTGGAGGAGAGAAGCGAAAATGGTGGAAAGTGTGTCTCCTCTCCCCCAAGCAATCTTTCCCACCTTCTTCTTCCTCTGAGTTTGTCTCCACATGCACTTCCCTTCCTTCCCGCTGCCAGAAAAATACCTCCATTACATCTCTCTCTCTCTCTCTCTCTCTCTCTCTCTCTCCCCTGACCTCTCTTTAATCATTTTTATTATCTAATCATTTCTGCTTCTGCAAGCAAACACAGTTCATCTCCACCACCATCATCAGCCCCACCTCTCTTTCTCTCTCTCCCCCTCTCTTTCTTGACGGTATTTGGAATCAGAAGCTTGTAGTGTACCTGTCGGCCGCTGAATCGTCAGCGGCTGCCCATTAATTGCACGCTGCTTCACTGCTAACTTTCAGCGGTGAGGGCGGTAGTGGTGGTCAGTCTCCTGACAGGTTTTGTATTCGATCCGTGGTAGATGAGGTGAGTCACTGAGTCCTTTACTTGCTCAATTTTCTTTTTGATTGGCTTTGTTTGGTAGGCGAGAAACGGTAGGAAAAACTCGAAGCCTCTGCGTTTTCACGTTCAGGACGTGATAAAGGCGTAGAAACTCATTCTTCCTACACTGATCTAGATCACCAGCTGTGCGTACATACTTGAGGCTTAAAAGGAAGTGTAACCATTATAATATTTCTCGTCGTTCCTTCACTTTCTCACAAGCCAAACAGAGGTGGCAAGTGTGGCAGAAACAGAAATCAGTGGTCTACTGTTTCCTTCCATGACCGGACTTAAATTTACTTTTGACCAAAACGTTTATATTAAAAGCCTCAGACTTCTAATCTCAGAGCAACGGCTATATTTTCCAGACATATGTATACATGATTCATATTGGTTGTAAAAATTACTTTTCAGATTCTAATTCCAGTTCTTGTTTGCTAGAATTCTTGTAGATGAGAAGAGCTACTAGAGGTGCTTGTTGCTCTGAGATCTTTGATCATTGACAGAGTGAGCGGATGGGCGTCAAGTTCATTTTCACGATTTTCTTGCTGGAAATTACTTTCCTGCTGGCGAACTCCGAGCCAGCAGAAGATAAACAAGCCTTGCTTGATTTCGTCCAGAGCGTTTCTCACTCCCGTGGCATCAATTGGGATGAAAACTCTTCAGTGTGCGCGAACTGGATTGGAGTGACCTGCAATCACGATAAATCAAGGGTTATAGCCGTTAGATTACCTGGATTTGGCTTTCGCGGCTCGCTTCCTCCCAACACTCTGAGCCGATTATCAGCGCTTCAGATCTTAATCCTGAAAAACAACGGCATTTCAGGTCCTTTCCCTTCTGATTTCTCCAAACTCGTAAACCTTAATGCCTGTCTCTTCAATCCAATGATTTTTCTGGTCCTCTGCCCTCGGATTTCTCTGTTTGGCAGAATCTATCTATCATTAATTTGTCAGATAACGGTTTTAACGGAAGCATCCCTTCTTCAATTGCAAATTTAAGTCGTTTATCAGCTCTGAATCTGTCTAACAATACATTTTCTGGTGAAATCCCTGACCTGCCTATCCCTAGCCTGCACGTATTAGATCTATCCAAGAACAATCTCACTGGTACTGTGCCTCAGTCTCTTAAAAGGTTTCCAAGTTGGGCATTCTTGGGTAATCATCTTTCTATTGACAATTCAGCCCCTCAAGTTTCTCCAATGGTTCCAACCAACGATCACCCTCCAAAGAAATCCAAAAAACTCAGTGAACCTGTTATGTTGGGGATCATAATTGGTGGTTGCGCACTGGGGTTTGTGGTGCTTGCTGTTCTGCTGATTGTTTGCTACTCAAACAAAAATGATGAAAATGAAATTGAAATCTCTGCCAAGTTCCAGAAGAAAGGAGGGTTAGCAAAGAAAGCAGTTTCCGGGAGCCATGATAGGAATGGAAGGCTTGTGTTCTTTGAGGGCTGCAATCTTGCATTTGATTTGGAAGATTTATTGAGAGCGTCTGCTGAGGTGCTGGGCAAGGGCACATTTGGCACGTCGTATAAGGCAGCTCTAGAGGATGCAACAACTGTGGTGGTGAAGAGGTTGAAGGAAGTGAGTGTGGCAAGGCGGGAGTTTGAGCAGCAGATGGAGGTTGTTGGAAATATCAGACATGATAATATAGCTGCACTACGAGCTTATTACTATTCGAAAGATGAAAAGCTCATGGTCTCTGACTACTTCAGTCAGGGGAGTGTGTCTTCAATGTTGCATGGTAAGTTTATATTTCTCAATATCATAATTATTCTTCATATTATCTCATAAATTCCGATCAATCGAGCTATACAAGCTGGAAAATAGTCGGGGTACTTGATGCTCTGAATGTGACTAGAAAGTTAGTGCTGAATGATAGGCTGGACTATCCAAAACTCATTTGCAGAGTTGAGTTGTTTCCTTTCTACCTCATTTCTGATTGAATAATTCTTCAGGACCTTAAATTAATCTTGTTCTACCCAAACTTGAAGAGAAATATCTATATATTTCTACATTTTTGTGTAGATTGGATTGTGCATGAAGAGCTTAGTTTTGTTGATCAATGCTGTCATAGGTCCTTATGTTAGTACTTGTTAAAGAAACATTCTGCTCTTTTGGCTTCTGATCTACCACCCAACCACAATATATCTTCACAAACTACCTCCGAAAGTTATGCAGTTGCAAAAATTGGAATACACAAGCAGTCTAAATAATCCTAATTTTGCAGCCAAAAGAGGTGAGAATCGGACTCCTCTTGGTTGGGAAACTCGTCTCAGAATAGCAATTGGTGCAGCTAGAGGAATTGCTCATATCCACTCACAACTTGGTGGGAAGCTTGTCCATGGAAACATAAAATCCTCTAACATCTTCCTCAACTCTCATGGTTATGGCTGTGTCTCCGACCTAGGTTTGGCCACATTGATAAGCCCGACAGGCCCACCAATCATGAGAGCCGCAGGCTACCGTGCACCTGAAGTGACAGACACTCGCAAGGCCTCCCAGTCTTCAGATGTCTACAGCTTCGGAGTCTTGCTTCTGGAGCTTCTCACAGGCAATCTCCCATACACGCTACCGGCAGTGACGACGTTGTGTGCATTTGGTTAGATGGGTCCATTCTGTGGTTAGAGAGGAGTGGACTGCTGAAGTATTTGATGTAGAGCTATTGAGGTTTCCAAATATAGAAGAAGAAATGGTTGAAATGTTACAAATAGGGTTGGCTTGTGCAACTAGAATTCCTGACCAGAGACCAAAAATGGCAGATGTGTTAAGAAGGGTTGAGGACATCCGGCAATCGGAAGGCTCAACGCCGGCACTGACGCCGCCGGTGACTGAAATAGGGTCCTCTTCTACTGCAAATTGAGATCTGTGTCATGGGAATTAGTTGTGAGATTTTTTTTGGAGGGTCAATGATTAGCAGCACATGGTTTGAATTACTTTAGTCTTTTTCTTTATCGTGTTTTGACTAATGATGCTACGGTTAGTTCACCTAAATGATTCCGCTATTTGTCAAAAGTTAGGTTGAGTATACTGTATTTTTCCTTCTCCTTTTGTTTGTCTATTTTTCAGGACCAAGTGGTTTGTTGAAATTGTTTTCGTCTTCGTACCTGCGGAATAAT